ATCTATCTATCTATCTATCTATCTATCTATCTATCTATCTATCTATCATCTTAATATAATTCCATTTAATAGTCATGAACCTACACAGAGGTTAATGCTCCTCCACTCCAAAAGGCAGAAGCCATTGGTTGTCAAATTAAAACTTCTTTTCCAGATGTGAGATGCCACTATTCCAGCTGTAGGTTAGGTATGTTTCAGAGACCCCATACCCCAAATAATACAGGCTACTAGTTGCCAACCAGAACCTGATAGTAAGATCCTATTGCTAAAGACAGAGCATACTTTAGTCATGAGACGTGGAAAAATCAAGTCGGTACTGACCAGGAGGTTGCCACCCTGCTGGCTAGCTTTCACAGTACTGCAGCGTGCATTGTAAAGCCATCAGCAGTCTTATCCAGCTGTAAGCCATGTGAACTACAAAACTGACCAGCATGGCGACATATTCCCACGGGTATAATACTGGCAGGAGTGTTGTGGGGACAACAAACCACTTTCTGATTGCGTTCGAGGCCTGCTCCACAGGAAAACATCCCAGAAGTGAATCTACTACCACTATTATCACACAAAGTGATTAGAGTGTTAAACTGCCTCTAAATTTGTACATCCATAGATGAGCGCAGCTCTCACACCTGATCAGAGTGGTTACTTGGTGCAGAAACTCACAATCGATCAGCATGCAGAAAATAAATATAGGTAAAGTTCTCATTCAAGGACCTGCACAGAAGTAGGGGCTGAACTATCCTAAACCTCGTGAGGGTTTAAAGAGAGATTAATACAGGAAACTGATTGCATAATCTCACTCCCTCCCATACAAAACTAGCAAAGTGATTAATTTTATTCTTGGTTTCCTTAGTTTCGGAGAAAATGTTTTTCTGGTGTGTGTCCCTATATAGTTTGAGGTTCTTGGCATTCCTTGTCTTATATAGCACTCATAATGATTTTGGAGTCTTATCACATTATGTTCAGAGGCAGCCTGACAAGATAAGAGGGATCTGCTGAGGCTGAGAGTGATGTGCAAGCCTTTTAGCTTGTTCTAGCATAATCAAGAATGAGGGGAAATGGTTGTGTTGGTGATCTGCTGGCTGTCTAAGCATGGGTCCCTGAGCTTGGATCCTTAGCAGCCATGTAAAAGCTTATGGACAGTGGAAAGTGTCTGTAACCCCTGTACTGACAAGGATGGTTGAACAGAAAACCAGATGCTTGGAGTTCAATGGAAAGATGGGGTACCCAAAATGGTGAGGTCCAAGCTCAGTGGCCGACCCTGCCACAGAAATTAAGGTGGTTGGGAAGAGGCCTGGCATTTTCCTTGGCATCCATGAGAAAGCACACGTGAGGACACACACATGGGCACATGACCAGACACACATCACACCATATTCACATACAAATCTTAAGATTTCTGGATCTAAGATCATTAAAATATTTTGAATCTTGTATTTTTATTAATATTTAGTAATAAATTCACTCGAATACATATCATATTTTTCTGTCCTTGATAAGTTTACTAGAAAATAGTGGCCTAATACAGATATCTATGAAGAAGAGATGACATTACAAGTAGAGATGTTGGTTTTGACCCAGCACACTTGCTCTCTCTCTCTCTCTCTCTCTCTCTCTCTCTCTCTCTCTCTCTCTCTTTCTCTCTCTCTCTCTCTCTCCCTCTCTCTCTCCCTGTCTACATATATACTTATATTATACACACACACACACACACACACACACACACACACACACACACACATACTTACCGTGTAGTGTTCTGTGAGATACTTGTCTGTTAACCCACATGTGAAAACAAGTTAAATTGCTTTATCTCTTAAGATAGTTAGGAGGACTGAATGCATTAATCTGAGTAAAACAGTTGAAAAAAATCCTTAGCACATAATATTATTATTGTTGATGAACTTACTTGTCCATGGATAAGATAAATATTCAATAATGTGGGAAGGTGTAACATCCATCCCAGCTGATTTCAACTAACGGTTCTTGTACAAACAAGACAGTGCAAAGGAATTAAATAGTTTAGCAAAATGCTAGCATTACTAATCCCAGCAGTGACTAAATGAACACAGTGGAGTTCTATCGGTTAACATTCACAACAGTTCAGCAAGATAGGCATTCTCAATTTTTATAGATAAGGGAAACAGTACAAAGATATTAAAAACTTTTATCAAGCCATGTAATTATAAGTAGTACACCCAATACAGTATTTATAATGTTGAGAATTTAGTCCTGCTATCCTCACAGAAGCTATGGTATGTAGGAGCTGGGAAGGGGCTTGCAAAGGATTCTGGAACTTTGATTGAGAACATTTTGTCAGTAGGATTTTTTTTTTAATTTAGAATATGAGATCTGCCTGCATATGTATGCCTAGATCAATATTAGTTTAATCTTTGAGGAAAATCACAGCTATAATTAAATCTTCAAAAAACAAAGGCTATTTCACAATTGTAAATATTAGACTGATCATCAAGGGTCTACAATGTCATTTTCCTTAGGGAAGTAAATCCCTACATGGTTGGGGTCATTGGTTATTTACTCCATTTGAGATTTAGGTGAATTTGAACTCTAGGCTAATATTACTCTTCCTCAGCTCTCATCCCCCCTTCCACTTACGGAGGCACAGTATTCTGGGTCACAGATAACACACCAGGGTGAGCAAAACCCTGAAGCAACTCAAGTCTGAGAAGCGGGATATGTGGAATTCTTTCCAAAGGCCTTCTATCTTGAAATTTGTCTGACTCTAAGGTTTTTTTAAAAATTATTCCAGTATGGTTAAACATTAAACGCAAGAGGATGCCAGCTGGCATATTGAAATCATTGCTATTTCATTTTCTAGGAAGGGCCAGCCAAAAATTCACTCTTGTGTACAGTCTTAGCCTGCTCTTTCATTTCCTTTCTCCGCTCCTGGGACAGCTAATATGGTGCATATTCAGCAGTCTAAATGCATAGACTGGCAACAATACTTGAACACACAAAAATAATTAGGCCTTTGAAATGTTTTCAGGGTAAGATTCTTATAGAAAGAGATGGCTTCTGTTTTCTGCTCCATCAGTGTTTATTCTGTCAAGTGATATACCTGAAATCAAAGGGAATAAGTCCATGCCTACGTTCCTATTGCTTTCTTCAGATTTGAACACAAGACAGAGAACTTTTAATGCCTAAACAGATGACAGATTTTAAACCAGTTTTGAGCCAACCATTCTTGTCAGCCAACATTCCCCATTTTGCCAACAGTTACAACAAAGCAACCATACTATCTAGAGGGCCAGTCCATAAACAAAACAACAATTAAAGGAAATGGAAGACAGCCATATGTACCATTCTTTTATGTTGGTATAAGCAGTGTGATTTAAGGTAAGCCATCAGCCTGATTCTGAACAATTGGATTTCATTACTCAATATATAACTCAGTAATGACTTTAGTATTTTGTTTATTCAATATCACCTAGGAATTACTTTTTCACATGACAATAGGCTAGATGAAGACAAGAAAAGTTTATTGGCAGGAAAAATCATTCAACCACCCAAAACAAGAACAAAGTTTATAGTAGTAAGGGGACTCATAAGCTCCTTTATTCGAATTTGAGGTTCATTTTTTTTTTGGTGGAGACTTTTCTGAGCACTGGTTAGGATTCTCATTTAGAACACACTCTTAACTTTTCACTGCTAGTGCTTCCAGAATAATTTCTGTGGCATTAGAAGAAGCCCACTGCTTAAGCATTGTAGAACTTGTGAAATATTTCGAATTCTTAATAATCTATTATAGATAAGTTATTTTGAGCAATAGGAAATGTAATTCATCTTCAAACTCTGTAGCTAAAGTTTCTGAATTTAGCTTAGTATTTGTTTGTTTGCTTCATATTCTTTGGGAGAATTGTGCCTTTTCGCTGACATTTAAAATGAGGCCTAAATATTTGAAGGTCGCTTTCAGGAAAAAGTCTGATAAATTTACTATGGGCCAATGTGCCATTGGTGTAGACATGCAAATAATATACCTGTTTAATGGAATAAGGTTTGTAAAAATCCACTTTGGGGTCCTGAAGAGATGGCTTAGGGGTTAAGAGTACCTTCTGCTCTGCTAGTGGACCCATGTAGTTCCAGCATCCACATAAATAGGCTTATAATGGCTTTCCACTCAAGCTCCAGGGGATCCAATGAGCTTTCTGGCACTTTCAACACATCATAATTTTCACATATATATGCGTATACATACCCATACATGATGTGGGATAATGGTCTGTATTCTGTCAATTATATTTTAAATAAATGCTGATAAGCCAGTAGCCACGCAGGAAGTATAGGCAAGGCAACCAGGCAGGAAGTAGAGGCAGGGCAGTGAGAACAGGGGAATTCTGGGAAGAGGATTCTGCTTTCTGCAGTCCTGACCCAGCCACAGAAGAAGTAAGATGTGACTGCCTCACTGAAAAAAGGTATCAAGCCGCATAGCTAGCATAGACAAGAATAATGGGCTAATATAAGTTATAAGAGTTAATAAGGAGCCTGAGCTAATGGGCCAATCCATTTATAAGTAATGTTGACCTCTGTGTGATTTCTTTGAGACTTAACGATTGTGGGGACCAGGCAGAACAGAAACACAAGTACACGCACACACATACACACATACAAACACACACACATATAATAAAATCTCAAAACTTTACTTTAGACTAAGAAAATCCTAAAATTTTTAAACAACTTATGTAATACGTATTGATATATAGTTTTAAGATGTTCTCTAAAAGTTTATAGTTCATATGATACACAGATGCTCCAATTTTTTATCTTCTAGGAACTGATAGCTTAGGGAGGGACTGTAAGTGGAGAAAAAAGTTTGGACACAACCAAACAGTGGTGGTTTTTTTCTTTTTTTGGACATTTATGATGCATCTGGCACTACATGACTGGTGATCCCTGAAGCAATATTTAACATGGTGCATGGTGGCTCTTATCAAACTGGAAGCAGGGTGTCTGATTTTTTTTCCAAAGGCTTTCTATCTTGAAATTTCTCTGATTCTAAGTTTGCTAATTATTCCAATATTCCTAAACTTTAAATATGAATAGACATCAGCTTGCATATTGAGATCATTGCTTTTCATCTTAGAAACAATCTTAGGCTACTCCTATATTCCTCTCTACAGGTACAGATACAATATCATTGTTTCTTCAAATAAAAGTATGATTATTCCTTTAATGCTGTGAAAAATTTCCTATATTTTCTGTTGAGTGGGGATTAATTGCCTTTAAGCTAGGGATTGGCATTGATTGACATATACAGTTAAGATACCTTCATTATTGTCCTCATCACCAACATTTATGCTACCAACATTTATGCTACCATCACCATCATCCACAGGTGTATCAGTTTTAGGACCTATCCTAGGAGTTATGTTGAATGAGTACAAATGGATATAGCAAATTCCCCAGCAATTGCCAGGATAACCTAGATAATACTGATCAGATAAATATACATAAATGGAAATAGAGAAAATTGTACAAAGGTTAATACCTTCAAATATTGCATTGTTCTGTAGTTCTAGTGACAAGTAGCATTTTTCAAAGAATGGAGGCCAACTTTCTCTCTAGGTTAAAAAGGCACTTTTCCTAGCAGTGTTATTTCAGAAAAGAATTGATGGAAAAGGGGCCCTATTGTTGTACCAAGTATTCTGCTTCAAGTTGTACACTGATGTGTGCCAAATGTCCACATTTCAAGGGCCAAATTGTTCCAGAAGTACCTTTAGAAGGCTGATGTGCCTGACTTCCCATTTCTGTCTGAGAATCATTGTTTTATTAAATCTTCCTTTTTGGAAGGTCTGTATATTGATTCCTCACGTTATTGTTTTAGCTTCCAGTACAGAATCAATATATTTTATATGCTTTACATATTTATATTTCTATAGTAATCTTAGAATATACAGAGAAGTCCCAATGAGCTTTCCAGTCTTGAACCAAGTCACACTGAGCTGTTGATTACAGGAGCCAGGAACTGAGCATATCTTTTTCTTACTCCAAAACCTGTGCTGATTTCACTGAAGCTGAAGAATCAAATCCTCTATCAAAGGTGGTGGGTTTCACACAGTAGTAACTTTGTAAATTTCATTGCACTTTTTCTTTTTGGCTTATTCGTCCTTTTATAGAAATAGCAGTAAAATGCTGTGTCTCTTTGCTTTTTTGCATTGAAGGAATAACCACAGTTCTCACGATGACCACCCTAAGCATCAGTGCCCGACATTCGTTGCCCAAAGTATCCTATGCCACCGCCATGGATTGGTTCATAGCTGTCTGCTTTGCCTTTGTGTTTTCGGCTCTTATTGAGTTTGCTGCTGTCAACTATTTCACCAACATTCAAATGCAGAAAGCCAAAAAGAAAACATCGAAGCCTCCTCCAGAAATTCCACCTGCCCCAGTGTTGAGAGAAAATCACCCAGAAGTGTCTCTCCAGGTATTTGACTTCGTCTTCTTCCTTCTAGGTTTTAGCTCCTTAGCCAAATTTTTGTTATAAGTGGAAAATAGAGAATTTGAAAGTATCAATGATAATTTGTAAAAATGGCAGAAGTATAGGAAAATATAAAATGATAAAATGTGCATTGATATTTTAGTTTTGTAATTTTTTAGTTATTTGACAGTATCATATAATATGTTTTGATATTTTTCCCCATTCTAACTTTTCCCAGGTACAACTGACTTTCCCTACCCACCCAACTTGGAATCCTTTTCTTTTTCTTTTTTAAATCATCCTGTAAAATTTGGGTTGCTTATGTATTCTTTGAAGTGTGGCCTTGAAACTTGGTGTACTTACCAGGGCATACACTTAAAATACAAAACCAACTCTTCCTCTCCAGGAGACTTTCAGTTGCCAGTACCCTCTCCCATGCTGGGATTTGGTCCAATTTAAACTTGTACAGGCCTTGGGAGTTCATATGGAAAACTTGTACTGCTGCATCCAGGAGAGAGTGTTTCCTGGTAGTCATTCATCACCTTGGGCTTTTATACTCTTTCTACTTCCGTAGCCAGAATGGTCCCTGGGTCCTGGGAAGGAGGGGTGTTGATATAGATGGTCATTTAGGGCTGAACATTCCATCATTTCTTATCCTCTGTACCTTGGTTAGTTGTGTCTTGCAGTGTTAATAACCATCTACTGATGAAAGAAGTCTGTTTGATGAAGGTTGAAAGATGCACTGTGGCTTAACAAGTCATGAGGAGTCTGTTTAACACTGTAGACATTTAGCAGAATATAGGTTTTACGACCTATCTAATTACATGTTCTTGTCCCCCCCAAAATGCAAAATATGGGTGTTTTTCATCTATCTTGTGACTGGGTCTTAAACCTAATAAGAAAGTGGTTGGTTATTCCCATGATATTAAGTCACTATTGAGGGAATTGACATATTTTGCCATGCCAGTCATCAGTGTAACTCTGAGAGTTCATAGGTGGGAAATCTGATGATCATTTTTTTTCTTAGTTATCATAGTGTTTGAGAGTCTATGAGACCTCTTTTGCCAGGAACTCTGTAAGAGATAATCTTTCTGACAATAAACTTTTTCAATTGTTAACTTGTGGTGTCTTGTGGAGGCTTTGTCAACCCATTATAGAGCAACTCTATTTAAATTCTTTTTTGCATATGTATATGTATGTACTTTAGGAATCTTCTACAGTAGTAGGCTTCCATCTGACTTATTTTTGAAAAGACTTTAGTATCAGTTATCTTTCTTCATATTCCCATGCCTACCAGCCACTATCCTAAACTATAACCCTTGTTCCTAACATATTGATATTTTAAAGCATAGTATATTGACTTAAAAGCTAAATAATCGATACATGACCTTGATACATGATAAAAGGCTATTTTTTTGCTCAAAAGTTCCTTCCAGTATTAAGAGTATTTTTTTCACAGAAATGGTTATAATGGAACATATACCAACAAGAGGCAGCTGCTAATGGTGTTGAGAGAGCGGCAAAAGCCACTTTTATAGAGTTCATTGACCAAAATAAAATAATAGTTCCTAACATAGCCCTGTGTTTCCTATGGGACGGCTCCCTTGTAGTAAAGAAGAGAATAATCTTAGCAGCAAAACAATCCGTAATTATAACAATGAATCATTCATTCTTTAAAGGACAATTGTATAAAAGAATGTAAAAAACAATAAAACAAGTGTTTTTTATATGACTTACCAAAGATGCTTTTTAAAAAAAATTAAGCCCCCTTTCCTCATGGATTCTTCTTGTGTAAAAGCAGTGAAATGTACAGGAAGTTGGATAATCAATCAGGCAGACATTTTCAACCCTTTTTTTCATCTTCCTCTTCCACTCTTCTGCTCTGTCCCTAACGCTCTCTTTCATTTTCTTTAGCTTGTCTTCTTTTTTGTCTACATAGTCAGATCCCTGTGGTTTTGTAACCTAACCAACTTTAATTTCCATGAATGACTCTATAAAACTGCTTGGTCTGCATTTACCTAAACCAAATGTAATAAAAGTCATCAACTTGTTTTCCTTCCACTAGCTTGTATCTCATCCTTCCTTTATTCACTTTTTCATTCAATGAATATATATTTAATAACATCTAGGGGCCTGACATTGCACAGAATCTAAGAATCAATAATGTATATTTTTAAAAGTCAGCAAATATCCTACACTATGGAAACTGTATCTATTTCTATACAGCAAGGGAATGGAGGCAGACAGTTTTCTTTTAATGTAAGTAATGACACACCTGGCATGTTAAATGGGGCTGCCATGAAGGGTCAGGAAGCCTTTAAACATTGGAAGTCTACCTTGAAAGGGTTAACCCTTTCCATGCCTTCAGTCTTGGTTCTGCTCCCACAGTCTCCATATGCTACAAGAGTAGCTAAGGAAGTGAATGCTTTTCATCAAGTAGTTTAAATAGTTAAAATTTTCTTCTAAGTGAATTCATCAAGATTTTCAAAATGCTTAGAATGCATTTTGTACACAGTTTTCATTTTTAAAAATTACTGCTCTAACTTTACTCTTTCCTACTTCCCAAGGGTAAACTCACAGCTTCTGTCTTTTGTTGTTTTTTCATTATTTTCTTTGCCACATTGAAACTCTATGATCTTGCAACTTTTAAGTCATTGAATCTTGGGTCTATTTTACCTTTTATTATTTTATGGTGATTTATTTATGAGTTAAATTAATTATGTCTTTCTGCAGGTTAAATTTTTTACATTTTTCAAGATACTTGAGTATACTTAATATTAATTTATTTCCATGCTTTTTTAAAAAATTTTTTTTGCTTTTTTATTTATGAATAAAATTTCTCTTACTGAATTCAGATCTCTTCTGTGTAGAATTCTATGATTCATAATTTTGAGAAAATATTATCAAAATTATTTGCTATGTATTCTGGAGTAAGATTTGAGATAAGAATATAGAGATAATATTAAAATTTCTAGAAATGATTTTTTAGTTTAACTCTGCTTTAAAAATTAGTTTAATTTTATTGCAAATTTTCAAAAATATTAATTTGAGTAATATTTTATTGTCACCTGATTTATGATGTATAATTAATCTATAACTAAATTATAATTTTATATTTAAAGTTATTATTTTTAGCAACAAGGTTGTTTGTTTTTTGTTTGTTTGTTTTTGTTTTTGTGGTTTTTCTAGACAGGGTTTCTCAGTAACTATGGAGACAGTCCTGCAACTCACTCTGTAGCCCAGGCTGGCCTCAAACTCACAGAGATCTGTCTGCCAGCTACCTCCTGAGTTAAATCACTATTATTTAACTTTTTAAAAGACCCCTAAAGTCTTCACAATTTTTGAAATATGTACAAACTTGTTTCATAATATTGTCAGATGGCACTAATTTTTCTTTTAATTTGACATTTTTTGCACATTATAGTCAATGATGTCCATAGTTTAAGGGTTCATAACTGCTTTATTTCTGTATTAACCAATGAATTTAGTCATAAAACTACCCTGTATTTTTCTTTCACATGAATGCTTTTGTCTTGAAATCCTTCTGCTTTTAATTCCAACTGCCCTCTCCCTTTCTTTCCTCTCTTTCACTTCATTCCTCCCTCCTTCTCCTATCTCCTTTCCTTCCTGCCTTTCACTGATCTGAGTATTGAATCTACGCCTTGTGCTTACTAGGTAATTACTATTACTGAACTAGACTCATAGGCCTCTTTTTGAAATTTCAAATTGTATTTTTTTTTATCAATATCAACTTTCCTAAAACTTTCAGCTGGTAAAAATCATCATTGTCTTCGCTTTTTAAACTTTATTTTATTCAATTAACATTTTTATTTATTTTACATACTGACCACAGTTCTTCCTCCTTCCTCTCCTTCTGTTCCATCCCCACTCTCATTTTTCCCCTCCCCCATCCACTTCACCTCTGTCTCCATTCAGGATGGGGTAGACATCCCATGAACTTGAACAAAACAAGGCACATCACTCTGGAAGCTATAAGTCATGTTTTAAAGGCTTCAAACAATTTATTTCAACGTATTTTAATAATGTTGAAATTATTAAACACAATAAATGTCTGTTATAAGCACAACTTCACCCTAACTCCAAAATGGCTTTATTCTAAAGGTTCTAGCTTTTGAAATGTATCTTATGCAGGCCAGGTTTAATGCTATATACCTATAATTAATATATCTTGTAAATTCACCCCAAATCACAAGTCTGAGGTGGACATAGCCTGCATCATAAGATCCTATCTCAAAAAATTCCACTTACAATTAATTGATTCTGTTCTTTTTTCTTTGCCCCAATGAGATTTCTTGCACGGATATAATGATGAAATATTATAAATATGTTAAAGTACCACATACTCAGAATAAAATTATCATGTCAAATTTCCAAGGGTGAGCAGATAACTGATAATCTACCATTTGCTCTCTGATGTTCTCTTGACCACAGAAGTTGTTATTGCCAGTAAATCTTGGCTGAACTCATCTTTTAGGCTAAACTGTGATTCAGAATCTTCTCTGCAGCACAGTACATGTGTGCTAGGGAGTGAGAAGAAGAAATGTATTTCAAAAATGACAAAGAACCCTACCCTTTCAACCTTGAGGATGATTTTAAAATAAAACTAGTCTAAGAATTCATCATGTGCTTTATGTCCTCTATAACAAATGCCTGGGCAACGACTTCGATCTTTCTGGCAATTTACTTCCAACTACCCTTGTTCTAAAGACAGTGACAAGTGACTTAGTGCAAGTTTGAGTTCAACTTCCTGTTTGGCCTCAGTGGTAAGTATAACTTCATAGGTTGGGAATACATTAAAGCGGAAATAAATTGGGAGACAGATAACAGGGAGGAGAAAGTATAGAAATGGAGAGACTGGATTAACAACACAAATTTGTATCTTACTCCTGAAATGAAATATTCTAAATATCCATGGTTTGGAGTGTCAGTAGAGTTTTAATCAGACAGCCAAACCTTGTTTATTCAAATATGTGTCCTAAAATGTA